CGCGGTGGGGGGGTGGGTGGCAGATTGCAGGGTCCGCATTAGCTCACCGCCCCCCATGGCTTTGCAGATTAAAGAATTACGAACTCCTGAAGTTTTGCAATATTAATGACCGCGGCCATCTGTTGATCTGGCAGCCAGCAACGAGCGGGGTTTTCACTTTATTTAGTCCAGTTATTAAAACAGAGGGCGGGGGGGGGGGGGGGGGGGTGCAGCATGACCCCGCTGTGTCCTGGGGTCACTGTGCAGTGACTCGCAGCCCGGTCCCCATTGCTGTGGGATGTGGGAGAGGAACTCCCCAGACAAGAGCTGGTCTGTGGCGGGGAAGGGGACACCATGTGTGACAAACAGCCCAGTGCTGCACCAGCACCCGAACAAGTGACATTGTCTGGGGGGGCGAGGAACTGCACCAGCAACCAGCCCCCAGCAAAGCCCAGGGTCTGCCCTCAGCACCAGCTGCTAATTCTGGCTCTCTGGGAGGGTGTGTTAGATAACTCTGTTCTCTGGTTTGCGCTCCGAAGGGATAAACTCATTTAGCAGGTTAATTAGTGTCCTTGGTAGGAACAGCATCAGCACTCTCCCAGCAGACGAGGCTGGGACGCATAACGCAGGGGACCTAGGGATGCATCATCCTGCCCACTGACAATTTTCTCGTATAAATCCAGCATTGCACACATGGCTGGGGCAGGAAAGCTGCTAAATTCACGTTCAAAGATCTCAGCCTCCTTGTCCAAGCTCACCCTGGTGGGATGTGCATCACCACTCCCCCGTGAGCAGAGCTAGAAGAGCCCCATGTTTACCAGCAGCACTGGCTGGGGGAGTTGGTTTGTTCAATATTACACTGCGATCTCTCCCCCAGCCTGTAGATGAGGTTTGTCAGCAGTGTATTTCCGAAACCCTACCCCAAATCAATGGCGATGCACTCCGACCAGGGCTGCTGACCGCAGCCAGGCAGGTTCATCACCCTCCGGGGCCAGACGCTGGCTTTCCTGTTCCAGAATTTAAGACCATCAGACAATTTCACGATTTTCAGATGAAATTTTATTTTCGATACAGGCACTCACAACTGCTCTATTTACTGTTTGGCAGGAGCAGAGGTAGGTACGCTTGCTAAAACAGCAAAGTTCTGTTTGCTAAAATACAATATTTGGATGAGACAGCTCTAGGTGCCCATTTTCCTCTCCAAACTACGCATTTCAATTTTTAATGAGCTCTGTTTGTCTCAATTATACCTGGAGCAAAGCAGCCGACATCAGCCTTCAATTTACCTTTGGGGTTACACGAGTCGTTGTCTCAGGGCACGGGGAAGATGTTTTCCACAGTGGTTGATTGCAATGACTACACCTGTCCAACCCCTCCCCATGTCAAGCGCAGATCTTCAAAGTCTTTTTCTCATACATAAAAGATTATATCATTATCTATAGTGTAATCCTCACTCTAAGGGCTGCCATAAATCATTGAAAATCAGAAGTAGATAAATAATGAATAGAGATGCTATTTGCTGACAGTAAAGCGTCAGTTCCTGGCCTCTCCTTGTGCTGGTAAATCCAGGCTCAAAGGGGTGACAGGCACCTGCCATCACCTGCTCGGGCACGGGGCACCCAACAGGGCGATATTAAAGCCTACACAGAGTCCAAGTTCAGGTTTTGCTGTTGTCTTTTTACATCCACAGCTAAAGGACACACACGATGTAAGACCCAGCTGTCAGCATGCCCAGGGACTGACAAAATGGATTATTTTTGAGTTCAGAGCAGGAGGGTTGGTGGCAGAGCACCCTCAGAGCAGAGTGCCGGTCGAGGAAGGAAAGCTTTTAGTCCAGGGCAAAGCAGAGAACACAGATTCTGTGTTTACAAAGATCAGGGTTTGCAGCCTCCTTCCTCCTCTTTTTTTTTTTCTCCCTCCCAGGTGTAAGTCCGAAGAACAAGGATTTTCTACTACTCAGGCGGATGAGGTGAGAAAGATCATAGGATTAGGAACATGCAAGAACCACCTCTCGTGGAAGGCAGGATGAAGCACCACAGCGCATCTTCAGGAGCACAGAGCAGAACGGGACAGCACACAGCCAGCCCTGGTGACGCTCAGCAGAACCAGATTCCCCAGTTCCAGGGGACGGTGCTGACCTCTGCTTGTCCTGGCTGGACTGGGACAGCACAATAAAGGTACAGCAACCCTTTAACAAAACAAAACTGAAACACAATGACAGAATTTCTACAGTTTTACTGAACACTGTGTTGATTTCAATACATGTACACTGTTGCAGAGAATAAATAGCAGCATAGCTTTACTGAGGATAACAAAAGCTGCAAAAACCACCCAAAGCCTTAAATGTGCAAAATACAGTTCACAGATTAAGATTTATTTTTTTCCCAGTCAGGTAGCACAGCAGGGTAAAGAAGAGCATAAACCAGACTAGAAATATTTCTCTATTCCCACCTCCACAGTTCAAAAGTTAACTCTTAACCTTGCCACTATAATAAGGATTTGAGAACTGCAGAGCACCATCAGCACCCGTCTAACAGGCCCCTACTGTAGAAAATAAAACAAAGCCCAACCATTGGAAAACCGTGAAAACTAGATATTTTTATTTACAAACAAAACAAGCCCTTTACTGCATTCGGCCTTCCTGACTCTGGTTTCTTGAAGCAAGTCAGAAAGCTTCAGTTAGTGTCCTTCAAGGTTAAGAGTGGTTTATTTTTTTTATAATTATACAAATGCAAACAGCATCTCGATGCATACTGCTGTCCACCTGTGGAGAGGTGGTTTTCCTTTTTTAAAAGTTTGCTCTTTGGGCAGTTGTTCTGCTGCAGACATCTCACCCGCAGCTCATCTGTGCAACACAACAGAAGCCAAGATTGGGGGTGCTTTCTGCTTCATCTGTGTTTCTCTCCTCATTCCACCCCATCAGCATCTCTCTGTAAGACCCGCTTTTTTAAAAACTCAAACCCACTGCCTCTTTAAACAACTGCTTAACATATGGACCTGCAAGAAAGGAAATTCCCAAAACACCTCTGCTGAAATGCAGCCACTGGTCACCATCCTAACCTAGGATTCCACTGTTGGATTTGTCTGAAGTCAGTTTTTAGCTGAATGTTTTTGGAGACGACAACACAAGGGGCTCCAGGAAGAGATTTCTCAGATTAAGACAAACTGGAAAATATTCCTGAGGATTTTACCAAATTACAGATTTTCAAAGATGTTTATGAACTTTGAGACTTCATGATGAGCTGTGGTGCCAAGGGGCAGGTGCCTTAGTCCCTGGGAAGAGAAAAAAATTAGTTTAGTATACTTCAGTAACTTTTATAATAATGTTATAAGTGACATTGACATATCACACTATTTGATACATGATATATAAAGTGCTATTTAAATTGATAAGTAATATAGTTGTCATTGATATGCTTTGTTGTTAAATTCTGAAATACAGAGATACTCACTACATTGTGAAAGAAGTTGCAAAGATGCTTTGCCCATGGACACCTGAAAAACAGATACAGATTCTTAATCCATTTTCTCCTCGGGACAGACCTGCCCCCAGTCTCAGCCACTCAAGAGTTCTGCATTACTCAAAGCTTTACAAGAAGGTTAACCCAACAATTCAGCTTCCAAATGGAGCTGATTTCAGCAGCAGATATACAGTAAAATAATTAAGACAAAGACAGACCAGAAGAAACAGGATTTCATCAGATTCTCTTGGGTCACTGCTACAGCACACTGTAAAGCCTCACAAAACAAAAAAAGACAATTAATGGAATTGAAAATTTGTTGAATACAGCTTAGCTTAGACACAGTTGAGTGAAATTAGGAATTTTATTTTCTCAGCTATACACAAAAGGCTGGAGAGAAGAAACAGACAGAAGCAGTTCACAAAGAAGGTCAACTTCCATGTCGATGATTTCCACTTTGGACAGTTACTAAGAGGTGAATTCTCAACATTACTCTGCTGCCTGATTTCCACTTTGGACAGTTACTAAGAGGTGAATTCTCAACATTACTCTGCTGCCATCAGCTACATGCAAACTAGAAGTGCCAGAGCAGGCAATTACCCTGCCTTTGGGTGTGCAACCACAGCATCAATTCATTTTAAAACTATTCCATCGATACATTAAAATCTATCCCTCTAAAGCCACAATGCCTTCCTGCATAACACAGGAGTGCAAAGATTAATGCCTGCAAACAGCCAGTGGTTTGAAAAGTGACCTGTCAGTGTTTTATTATCATTTGTAATCTAAATAAAGAACTCAGACTCTTTCAGAACTGTTTTCCCCACCCACTGAAGCTTTGTGCTGCTGCAGAGCAACTGGTGTCTCTTCTTTTTAAAAGAGAGTAAGAATGACAGGCACATACCCAACGCTGTCCTCGGTCTGCATTACAGTGCACCGAATCTTTATGTTTTGATGGGGATCTACTCCCTCAGCACCATGTGAAGTATTTCTTACAAGTTTAAAAGAAACATTGACACCTGTACACCCATTGTATTCTTGTAGATACACACTAATACACATTTTGAGCTACTCTCAACTATTTTCTCTAAATAAAGTTTTATGCAGTATTATGACTCCTTAGAGTCCAAGAACTACTTTGCCGTAAGTCCTAATTAAGGTTTTTTGGTTGTCTGTTGTTGATGATGATATCTAAGCACCAGAAATAGACTGGACCATACATAATCTTGACAACTGGACAGGGTTGCCAAGAGCACATAACATGTTTCATAACATTGGGCACTGGGAAGTGAGAAGGCCATTTGGTTGCAACAGATAACAGAGAAAAATTACTGTTAATTTTTCGTCTTCAGCATCTTCACCACTGCCAATAACAGGGAAGAATAAAAAACAAGAATGAACTGTGAGTCAAGGCTGTTAAGAGAAAACTACCATCGGTGTTGCAACACAATGATTTCTATTTGGCTAGGATGAAGGTTCACACTTACACGTGCAGGTTCTCTCTAATAATATTCAGAGCGAAGAGGCCAATGGATTGCATCTTCTTATGTCTGCATGTCAGGAACAGGCAAAGGAATTCACCCACGTACTGGGGACCAAGGTTTTGCCACCTAAGCAATACAAAACCAGGAAACAGAACACAGCTGTTCAGAGACAACTTTCCTAGTGATTCCTTGCATCTTATTCTCATTCTTGGCTTACCCAAAGCACTGGTTTCAAAGAGCTAAGGATTATACCTCCGCTAAACCTTACTGCTGCAGGGCTGCTCTAATGGGTACCATAAACAGACTTGAGGGAGCAAGTGTTTACTCACAGCTTTAGCATCGTTGCTTTCTGATGACTTAAATCTCTCAAAATCAGGTTGACAGTGCCATGGAGAACTTGTTCTTCATAGGAAAGATGGTCCAACAACAGCCGCAGAGCCCAGAAGTTATTCTAGGAAGAGACAAAACAAGTGTTATTAACCTAATTCCCAATCATTCCTTAAAAGACAGAATAAACTAAAGGTCAGCAAAGCTAAAGGGGAACAAAACCAAGGTAAATGTGTCTAAAATCTCCAAGTTAGTGTTACACAGATTTTAAATATAATTTGCTTTAATCTCTTAGAACAGAAATCAGTATGTAGGACTCACCCCAAAAGCCAGGGCTATCTCTAAGAAGGAAGTCAAGTATGGAAGGTCATAAAAAAGCATCTGTTGTATTGCTTGCACTGCGAGAATAAGACAAGCCTCATGGTGCAGCTACAGGAAGAGATACCAACAGGATGAGACATATTTAGAAGCCCGCTTTCCCATTACTTATGTATCATAACCAGTCAAATCAGTACCAAGTTACTGCCACTCCAACTAGATAGGCTGGATGTCAGACACAACATCCACAAGAATCTTACGAAGATCAAAAGAAGGGGGAACAGAGCAGGTACTTTTATTTATATAGCACGTTTCATCTGCTGCTCTCAAAGTCCTCACAGAAACACAGTCTCACACCATCACAGAAGTAGAATTAAAGGGAAAAAAATTCTGGCCCAGGAGACAAATATTTGGAGAGTAAGCTAAATGTAATTACCTCAAAAGAAGTAAAAAAGAACAGGATAGCTCCTCAGGTGTGTTGACTGTTAAGACAGAATTACTTATTACCAACCCTCCCATTTATAACTGCATAAATTTGGAGTTTTCTACTCTAGCCTTTAGAATGTGCTAATAACAGTCTTACGCTGACTCCTGCCCAAAATTTTCAAGATTCTTCTTAAAGCTTTTCATCACAATCTTCAGGCACAATCAGACAAACAGGAAATTTCCTTATTGCTATGCGCACACTTACATGAGGAGAGAAAATAGCAGGTGGTAAATAAACATTCATTTTTGCCTTCAGTTCCTCCAGAAGGCCACCACTGGCAGCAAGCACCCCCTGCAACAGAAGTAATGAGTCACATGTAAAAGGGAAGGCTGTCCAGATACTTTACAAACATCAAACAGTGCCCAAGATGTGCTTTTACTTATTTTTTTCAGCATTTTTACAGAGGAGGTTGACTGTTCAACACTATACTCAAGGAAAGTTGAGGCTCTAGAGCACGAACCAAACCATATCCTAAACACCTCCATTTTCACCTACTGTCCTTAACAGCTAATTCTGTTCTTGCTAAGAAAATACCCAGATACTGACTCTTTAGGACTATCTGAACACATTTTTCTTCAACTTTTCCTGTCCATGTTGTTATCTGATCCATCTCAACATTAAAAGGTATTGAATCAGTATTAGGCATTGAGCTGCAAGCAGAGTTGATCTGTTTACTGTCACATTTAACGCTTTGAATCACAACATTTTGCGAAGACGTTTGGCACACACCACAGGAGTGTTTGACGAGGCACTGTACAGTTAACCTCACTGTTTAGAAGAACGAGCCAACACCCACATCAAACGCAGTCCTGTCTAAAACCAAGACAAGAGACTCTCCCATTTCACAGTACTGTTCCAGTTACCTTTTGGAAGTCAAGCGGGGGCTCTTTCAGGGACAGGGGAAGCAGGTGTCCGCTTTTTTCCAGCAAACTGCTACTACCCAAGATCATGATGAGGGAACTCCAGCATTTAGGCTGAAACACAGCAGAACATTCATTTTACAAAGTCAAATCCCTTTGGAGGTGTAAACTATTCAGAGAGAAAAGGGTTCTGATAGTAAATCCCTGCATTAGAGGACTAACTGGACAAAACAGGTGATATACAGAAACGCTCAACGGGCCACAGAAACACGGTTTTAATGCAGACTCACATTCCTGTATAGCAACACATTGCTGTAAAGGAGTTTGAGCGCCTGCTTAATCAGAACACCATCCTTCAAGGGAGGCCCTGCAGAAAGAAAAAGTCCAAAATATATATTTTACATTCGCTGAATAATTATAGAGTGTGAAGACTAACAAAGTATTAACTCAGTTACAGATATGTTTCTACAGAAACCTAACAAAAAGAAACAAACAAGCGTTTACAGCTATTTTACAATATTTTGTAGTTTCTGAATACAAAAACATCATCAACTGTAAAACACTATTCTGGAAAGCTGCAGAGAGCTGAATACAATTTAGACTAAGCCATCACAGAACAAAGTCTTCACTATGCACATCACGCCACCGTACAGAGCGATACACACTGTCAGTATCTCGCACATCTAAGAATTCTGCTAGTAGCTGAACGTCTCCAAAATAAATCTTTCATTTCAGACTAGACCTCGACACACAGCACGTGCTAAAACAGATGATCACAGTTACCTAAACTAGGGACAGAATGTAATATGCAGATTGTGAAACACTTTCCATCAGGAAGCTTTTATTGTCAAGGTCAAGGCTGAGACATACCATAACGCTGTTACACCCGGCCATTGGCGATACGATGATGTAACAGAGAGCTTTGTATTTTATTTTAATAGGTTGCTTTCAGCAAAACAACTTCACAGCTGACACAGCTAGTGTTTTGTGTGAAGTGTACTAAACAAATTCATGCTCAAATATATAAACATTCTTTCTGCCTAGTGTTATGTACCATGCTTTAGTCTGGACAATTTCTAGCTGGGCTCAGGTTCCCTCAGAACGTTACTAGACTTAATGAAGAAGTAAAAGCTGTAGTTAAGTAAGGTTCTAGACATATGTAAGCAAGAAATCACACTTGCCAACTGTAATCCAGAGCCCACAGTCTAGCATGTCCTTTCCAGCAGGGACGCTGCCTGTTCTGAACATCTTCAGGTAGACCTCAAACTGAAAGGGCGTCAGGCGGCAGGCAGTGCAGCACGCAAGGCTATTGACGGGAAGCAGCAGCGAATGCGTGGCATCCAGGAAATCTCCAGTTTTACACAAATAGAAGGGGATTCTATCTCGAAGGTCTCTCAACCTGGGAAGAAAGAAGAAAGGGATATTTGATTTTCTTTGATGTGAAACTTACAATAGGTATGTATAGATCTGATTACGCTGGACCACTAGTAAGTTACATATGATAAGACAGAAATTAGTCGCAATGCAGCATTGCTTTCACTTACCAAACAGCTACCAAAATCCTACTGCTTTTCATCCTGCCAGTTCATTGCACATTGAAGAAACACAGACTGGGACACAATCTTAAGGCAAAGAAACAATTGAAAAAAAAAAAGAAAAGAAAGCCATTTACCCTTTGGTATCGTTGCATTTCACAGCTCTCAGGTAGCGAACAACTTCTTTATAGCTGGAGAGACAAAAAGAGGGTGAGGAGGAAGAGGAAGTATGCACAAAGCTATATACAGGTCAATCAAATACTTACTACAATTAATGAAGCAAACCAGTAGATCTTTCCACACAAGAGATGTTGTACAATAGGACAGAAATACAACTGGCAGAAAGACAGTTGGAAATAAGTTCCAAGAAGCTATCCACAGATTACCCCTGTACTCTGGCAAAATAAAACAGGAGGTTGCCCTTCCATTTAATCCTTTAAGCAGACTGTATTATTCTGAATACAGACTTCTGAAGATCCAGAGATGAAAACACACTTTCTGCTGTCTTTCACCTAGTCAGCCTTTGATCAACAGAATTTGTTTTATACATCAACATCTAAAATCTGCTGAGGTTATGGAAACAAATTAATCCAGTTCCACACTCTTTTGTGTCCTGCAGTGTTCAAAGGGCTTGATTCTGCTCTGAGAAACTTCAAAAAGCTACTGGCCTTCTTGTAAGAAATAATGGGCATGAACAGCATCAAATATGTCTTTGTTTTGTATGTGTCCCCATCAGGCAAAACTCCTGCAGATGTTAGGAAAACACCATACCGCAGTCAATACCATGCAAAACGTAAAACTTGAGATCACAAAATGAAAAATCCAAACCAAGACCAAATGGATCTTACCTCTCTTTGTCTACCAATTTCTCCACTCGAGCCTCTATAACAGGGAACGCTTCCCACAGATATACTTTCCTTCCTTTCTGTGTTCTTTGACCAGTGATGTTCTGGCCTTTTAAAACCGTGGTCAGTAATACGTGGTCCCATGGCACAACATTCAAGCTGGAAGTACAAAAACTCATTTTTAGCCATGTTTTGCTTGTACATCACACTTCGTTTCCCTTAAGTAACATGAATATTTACCAATAAAACATTCTAAAGGTTTACAGCTCACTTGTAGCAGGGGGTGGGGAAGAAAAAAAAAAAAGAGAAAGAAGAAATCTATATGGACAATAACTTAGCCATGGCATCAAACTACAGCTTCTCCTGTAAGGACAAGCCAAATACAAAGCAGCTAATACTGAAATCTTCCTACAAAACACTCACATCTAACACTGCCAATGAAAGAACCATTCTGTATATGGTTTCAAATCAGGCAGATGTATTAAAAAATATATTCTGCAAACAAAAACCAAAGGACATACCTATTGGAGAAGCCAAAACAGTGACATGGAAGTGAGATGGACTGAAAAAAATTAACAAACTTTTCATACAAATTTTTTGGAAAATCACACAACACCAGCATCTTCTGAAGTTGTGTTGTGATCCTATGTTTTGAAAAGAAAGAAAAAAGAAAAATTAAAATATCTATAAAATTGGGTGAATTACTATTAAGTTGTTGCATTTCTTTAATCCTATGGGAAACTATTCTACAGAAGTTTGAGTTCTCCGCGGTTTTTTTGGTTAAATGTCAGATGACAGTTTAGATCTATACATAAATTTGTGCTTTAAGATTTGTAATAAATAACGATATTGCTCTTTTTTAATTAAACACCAGTGAAAGCAAGGTTCTGTGGTCTTAAGTTTTAAAGCAAAGATCCCCAGTGAGTACATGTGAGAGACACTGCAGAAACATGATGGACTCGATAAGCAAACTGATCAACCTGGGCACCTGGCAGCTTCAAAGCCAGTGAAACCATTTTTGTCTTAACTGAAAACTAGAGATAACAAACTGACACAAAGAGCTGTAAAACTGGGGGAGGGAGGCATTTCTTCTCCTGTTCTTTTAAAGTAACAAATTAAAAAATTCCAGAACAGTAATTTAAAATGAAAACCAATACAGGATTTAGGTTATACCTGTCATTAGTTTCAAATAAGAGGTGAGAATATATAATTGTTTTTGAGTGCTCCTGAAAAAAGTTAATTCATTAACCTTCTGTTGCAGGTGAATTTCGGGTTAAAAGGTGAAATACAAAGCTAAAATGAGAAATGAATTAAGCCAAGGGAGCTAGATGTCCTCATTCATCAGCCTCTGGGGGAACTTTCCTATGTTACATCCCTGACTACTCCATCCCAGTGGATTACTCCAAGGCTGCTGTTTTGATCTTTAACAGACACTATTTACTCTTTGGCTTAATACCCCCAAGTAGCTGCCTGACACCACCTTCTGGTCTGGCCTTACAGAACACTCCCAGACTACAGTCCCAAAGAAGTGTCTCTATGCCTTTGAACAGGAATAATTTTAAATGCATTTTAAATGCCAGCAGAAAGTTTGCAGCCAGCAAGCACCCCATTGCCATCTCAATATTATATGACAAGTCTTACCTTTGCAACAGACAAGGGACAGCAATCTTTAATGAAGCAGTAGCACCAAGGTTCTGCGAGCTTCTAAGAGGGGAGGAAAAAAAAAAAAGACTAATTAATGTTTGGCTGGTTTTCCTGTTTTTTTTCCTTCTCTATACTCAACTGTCCAAGAAAACACTGTTTTCTTAAAAAGCATTGTGAGCTATATGCTAATAAAAATTATTCCAAACAAATAAAAGAAGTGCTCGAAGTGTAAAACACATTCTAGAACTAACAGTTTTACAGAAGTACCTAACCAAGTGCAGCACACCCTCCCAAGCAGCGTAAAGCAGTACCAAGCCTTTCCCGCAGGAAACAGCTGTGATATAAACAAGAAAATAACCAGCACACCTAGTAAAGACTGGAGTACTTAAAGTCTGCTTTTATTTATTTATCATACAGTCCTCCCAGCTGACAGGTCAGCCTCCAGACTTACGGGAGGCATCTAAAACTTTCTACCCTTCCTTCCAGTTCAGGAGGCGTTTCTTCACACAATGCAGCTTGTGGGTTCTCTCAGGAAAGCTCCCCTGAACCTTCTCCTGGGGAATTAACCCCACCTGCCATCATCTGCTGTCTGTCACCCTCCCTCCTCCCAGCTCCCACCTCAAATTCCTTCCACTTGTTGGAGATATCTCTGCCCCTCATGACGCAGTCCCACTTAACTTCTTCCTCTCATGTCCAACCTTTATCCTTCTCTTTTCCCCAAAATCCCTCCCCGTAACCAATTCAATTTCCCCCTCAAGTGTACTCATTTTCCTCTCACTGTGCTACAGCCAGGGCTGTGATCTTTACACTGTCCTTACTCTTAATAAATGCAAAACCAGAACTCTCTCACTTAGTCTCCTCACTTTGAGGAGCAAACGAACATTACACACTCAACGTGCAACTGGATACTTACAAAGCAGGGTCTTTATGAAGTGCTATCTCTTTAGCTGCTCCCAGAAACATGACAGCAGCAGCTTTAGGACTCTCTCTCTCTGCCCGATTTAAAAATCTTGTTACCAGCGCAAAAACTCCAGAATACCTAAGAAAGTTAAGTAGTCTATAAGATGAAGTGTCTGCAATGATGTAAATCGTAAACAAATGGCAATTATGGCCATTCTACAGTTGGAGAGCAAATTGACTTGCCTTTCCTCGAAAATAATCTAAGACAGTGAAAAGGTATTCACACAACTGTCACTTTAAGCATTTTAAAGGCATATACCAATGAGTAAAAGCTGAAGCCCATCCAACAAAAAAATTATTAAAAATACAGGCTTTACTTTCCTGCTTTCCCAGGTTATAATAATGAGGGATATTACCAAGTGTCTTAGCATAGCACAAGAGTTATATTTAAAGTGGTATTTAAAATGTACTTAAGGGACTGTTTAAACTACATTCAAGTGTAATTTACTAGCTCACTGGCCAAATAAGTTCTCTTAACGATATTTCTGCTATATCAGGTGCCATGATTCTCCTTATCACTCGACTACAGGAAAGCCAGCCTGCACTGACCTGTACACACTACTAGTAACCAAGTTCTGTTGTCACTTACTTGTATACAACCTCCATGTTGCGTGATCTGCAGATATTGCATTGCCCAGGAGGCAATTTTGGGAGGCAAAAGCATTCATGTTGCATGGGAGGTATTCTTTCTCCAACCAGATACTTGTTATATTCCACAGAAAGTTCCTGGATAAATTTTATTAGAAGACTTCCTAAGAGAGCAGACAGATGTGAAACTATTAGTGTTTTTTTTTTTTTTTCCACCCCCCAAATCTAAAGGAAACAAAGACAATCACGTAAAATATTTAGCAAGTTCCTCGCATCCAATCTTATTGGCCAGGAAAGCTTTGTTGCTTCTTCCAGGGGGTGGATAGCAGGAAGGCCCACAAACTGGACCTCCAAACTGTGTCTGGCCTGAGTACGGCTCAGAAAGAGAGTAGCAACAGTAAGGTGCTACCTTAAAAATTCACCGAGCCTTTGTAAGGAGAGCTGTGGACAGACAAGCTGCCCATCAAGGCACAGACTGAGCAGCCACAGTGAGCCCCAGGTCTCCCAGGACAGTATGAGAGCATATCACTTACCACCATGCCGAAGGTCTGCATCTATATCTGTGAGATCCAAATTGAACATTACAAGAACACCAGCCAAGGCAAAGTCACGCTGATCCTTCCAGAATTTGCTTTTGTTGTGTGCGTTGCAGTGACAGAGGGCAGGGGTTGTCCAATTCTGGCACTATTTCATAGAACATGAAGAACAAGGAGAGATGCTTTTTTTTTTTCCAGTTGAGCAAATCAAAAGTTAGTTCCTCCCTCTGAGAGAGGGACTACAATTCATTTCATCCTTTACACAGCTAGACAAAGCCACAGTGAAGTACTTTGACAGCCAGGGCAAGAGGACAATATGGTAATACATTGACACTATGGCTTAAAAAGAAAAAAAAGAAAAAACAAACCCACAGTAATTTACCCTCATTCCTGAATACCTTACAGAAACACTTAGAGCTGGCACCCTCCCCGCTGTAAATTCGTAACAAAGCACTGTCTTTGTATGTTCACCTTGACTTTGTTCACAGTTCAAAAGTTTTCTGAATTCAAAGAAAAAACCCAAGCAAACTCCACACACCCAACTCCTCCTCCACTGCTCCTTGGGTTAGGAAAAACTAAAAGTTTGACATTGATCTAGCGCAGTGAGAAGCAGTCTGATTTAATTATCTCATTCCATGAAATACACTGTGTGCCTAAAGCCAACAGGAGGGTCATTTCCTTAAACCAAGGGAATGTTTGCTCCAACAACTGGCTGGACTACTAGAAATAAACCCAGACAGGGACCACATTTTAGCAGGATTGTGAAGCAGACAGATATCAGCATTTAGGAGAGGAACTGTTAAAATAATAAAAATGAATGTATAATTTATTCTTTTAGTGTGCCTCAGAGTGATTTATTTTAAAAAGACTGTTGAGTAAGTTAGCTTACTCAAAGATGTACATTTCTCGATTACAGCTTTTCTTACCTCAGAAGCTAGTTTATCACAAATGTAGCAGTAGCACTGATTGCAAATATCAGCATTTTTTCCAAGGGCTGAGCACGTATCACATTCCGTTCGCCTACAGAGTTGAAAAACAAAAGGCTATTTATGAAACAAGTTACATGCTTATCCATCTCTGCTTCTGCTTTCAGCTGTTAAAAAGCTAACAAGGTTACTCGACAAGATGGACTAAATGTGGAAAACAAAACCCCCATCTTAACCTCCCCATCACTGAACGTACTCAAACGGGTGTATTGTACAGTCATATCTTGCATGAGGCATCACGTTTGCTTGTTTACAGAAAGTAACCACTAGTTCACATTCCTCATCCACAACTTCTTCAGATTTCTCCTCTTCCAGGTCAGACTTCTCTGTAGAAAATAGAATACGTGGTGTAAATCAGTACAAAGGTAACTACAACTTCATGACAAATTCAACCAGCTATCGACATTTATTTTTTAAAAACACTTTAAGCCACAAAGTTTCTTATGATCTCATATGGTGCCAAGAAGAACAGTACACTGGCTTGGGACAAAAAACTCCCCCACACTACCTAAACAGAGGTAATTTAATCAAAAAGGATCCAATCAACATTTAAAAGGCCCGGTCTCAGCTAGGTTTGTGATGTTTTGAAAACCACACAGCAGTATCCCTTAAGGTAATCAGTGCATTCAAACAAATTCCAAAAGTTATGAAACAATAGCAGTTCCTTCTGGTTTTATTTATTCTCGAGGTACTTTGTTTTCCTAGCAGGAGAAAGACACATCTCAAGCATACCACATAATATTTTACATCAGTTTACTTCAAATTTTTTTTTACAGAACTTCATCGACAACAAGAGCACCGTACTTACCCAATGGGTCTACTAACAGAACCGAATTCCCAAGCGTGCTCTCAGCTTCATCATCGCTGATCAGGATTATGCTCTGCTCTTCCTCTTCTTTTTTTGATGGCCCCATGGTTACTGAACTCCAACAGACAGGAACTATTCAGCAGCAAATAGGACACAGAAGAGCTCCCACTTTTAAGGTCCTTTCCTCAAGAAAGGAAGAAAGAGACTTCTCCAAGACCCAAACTCTTCATCTATGCCAAGTAAGCTACACTAGGGACAGAAACATTCAACCCTCACTGCAGTCAGCAGCTCAGAAGACATCGCAGTTTCCATTCAAAGCTGAGAGAACCCTAAAAACAAGAAGGTAGGAGGAAGAATAAAAAAAAGAACCAACCATAAGATGGCCAGTTCCTTCGGTGGGACCCCCTCTGAAAGCACTAACCGTAACGACCACCCACAGTAACTCAGCTGT